GTGTGTCTCCACGGACTGGAAGCCAGCATGTTTCTGCTTTGTCTTGTTAGCTCAGGGCTTATGAGGCATGGACTTCTGCATTGCCCTGTCTGTACAGGGAGCTTGCTTTTTCTCTGCTTGCTTGTTTCCATTTTTGGTACCTTCATTTAGGAGAAAACAGTGGAATTGGGACATGGGTGGGAACAGCCCTTGTTGCCAGGACTGGTGCCCCGAGAAGGTAAAGGAGCCGCAGCTCCTCTCCACGCCAGCAGAGCTCACTAGAAAAGGGGAGGCCTGCCCAGGACTGAGGAATCGGGGCCTGAGCCCTCCCCTCACGCCCCCAGAGCATGACGCTAGGATGATGCCGTGCATCTGGGAGTTCTGGTGCAACGGGAACGTTCTCCAAAGAGTGGTTCCTGTGGATTGAGCAGACAGCCCGAGTGGGGGCTGCACGGGGCTGGCACTGAGGAATCGGGGCCTGAGCCCTCCCCTCACGCCCCCAGAGCATGACGCTAGGATGATGCTGTGCATCTGGGAGTTCTGGTGCAACGGGAACGTTCTCCAAAGAGTGGTTCCTGTGGATTGAGCAGACAGCCCGAGTGGGGGCTGCGCGGGGCTGGTCCCGGGGCAGGGGAGCGGGCGCCTGCCCTGCAGAGCTCAGGCCAGGAGCACGTTCAGCTCGGCAGAGACGGCGCGTCATCCTCCTGCTTCTGCACTTTCCAAATTCCAGTTAATAAGCAGCCAGCACAGTGTCTGGAGCATAATAGACAGTTGGCTTCCTAAAGAGAATGAAGGAGGCCCTTTCAGGGTGAGGGAAACGTGCCCGTCTGGCGTGTGGGCCCCACGGCCGTCAGGCGCAGCCGTCTTTGGTCACTCATTTGAATCCTGGCAATTAGCTGTGGCGCTAATGGTCTGCTCTCTGCTTTGTGTTGCTCCTGTTATCTCCAGGTCTTAAAGTTCTTGGCAGACGTATTAACTTTCACTTCCCATTTTACAGATTTGTAAACTAAGGATCAGCGAGGTTATGTGATTTTTCCCAGAGTCAGGGCGGGCAAGGCCTTCACTGAGGTGAGACACACGCCTCGTAACAGCTTGTTATTTGGGACTTCCCATCAGTAAAATGGGAGTCATAATTGGGCCCTGGCTTCCAGACGGTTCCCATAAAATGTTGTGCAATCTGAAGATGAAATTGTAAAGTGAGCGTGAGATATTCTTTCCAAAAGCACCTAGACTCAAAAGAAGCCCGGAGTACAAAGCGGCTGTTTTAGTCACCGGCTGACGTCTCTGTAGACAGGAGCGTGCAGTGGACATGCAATGTCCCATTTGAGTTTTATTGCTACATGACACATAAACTTAAACTTCACACGGTGCTCCTAAGAGGCCCTCAACAGCCACGAAAGTGAAGGGAGATCGTTCACACGGTCCTGCGTGGCTGCCAGGGTGCTGTCCTCATGGCCGGGTGACAGTGGCTCCTGTCTTCAGTGCAGAGTGGGTGGTGAGGTCAGACTTCAGTACACCCACGCCACTGCTCTTTGTCTTAGCCCGTTCCTTCCAACGGGGTCCAGCAGGGTCTCAACCACCCTGGAGATCCCAGGGCTGGGTGAAGGCTGCCCTTGGTGGTCTCATTGGTGGAGGGAACCATCTCAACCCCACCCTTTCTCCCTTTTCTCCATAGCACCGGTGGCACTGGAGGGTGGTCAGCCAAGGGCTGCGAGCTCCTGTCCAGGAACCGGACCCACGCCACCTGCCGGTGCACCCACACGACCAGCTTTGCGGTGCTCATGGACGTCTCCCGGCGCGAGGTGGGCACCTCCCACGGCCACCCTGCCCACCTGGCAAGTGTGCCTGGGGATTCGTTCTTTGGGAAATTGGAAATTTAGCCTACCTTCATACCTCTGCCCCTCCACATTCTGTGTGTTTCCTTCTAAGCACTTTGAAGAAACCAAATCAACTGATCAAAAGTACATTCCAGGAGTATTCACCAGAATCTGTTAGGATTTCCATAACAAAACCCCATTAGAAGGGTTTTCCCAGAGCTCAGGGTTGTACACTGAAACTTCATAATGGCTGACCCTAACCTCAGATGCAGAGAAGCTCCTGGAATACGCGCCTCGCTGCAGAGTGAGGTTCTCAGCTGTCCATTGGAGATGCTGTTTCTACACCCACTTTGCACTGTAAGGAGGAAAAGACTCTGGCATGTCCCATGGGATTATCTCCCTTCGGTGCCACATGCTGGCCCCAAAGGACAGAGAGGCTGGGTCGGGAGCACCCCCAGTGACGGGGCAGCTGATGTTTAACCTCTGGCATCCTAAGCAGCCTGGGAATGTGAGCCAGCCATTGCGGTCCTGCAGATGGATCAGCTGGTGGGGCCCCATGCATGGCGGGCCAGAGTGCCTGTCCCAGCCTCCCGTCATCGAGACAGGAAGGTGGCTGAGGCCAGCCTGGGGACTCTGGTGTCTGGGTACCAGAACCAGAGGCCTGGGGTGGCCTTGCCTGTTGCCTCCTCTCCAGGGTGGGATATGGCCCAGGAGCCCAGGCCACTGTCCTTTCCCAGGGCTTTCTGGTGTGAAGTGGCCCAACTTTCTGTCAAATTCTTGGGAGGGAGAGTCAGTGTTGTGACATGCTCATCAGGTGGCAGGCCTGGGGGAGGATGTGCCTTTCTGTGTTGTGTGCAGGTAGAGCCCCCTGTGCTCTCGGCCTATCCCTGGCCCCCTCCCGTGGGCAGGTGGCCCTTTTAAGCAGGTGGACCAGGTCTCCACCTGGAGGGTTAACTATTAGTGGTCTTTGTCCATATAGGGGTGGGATTTGGAGTCAGTTCGTGCCCAGGAAATGGGCAGTGCCAGGTGCCGACATCTGGACTGTGGAAGCTGAAACTGAGCAGAAGAAATGAAACTGGGGTCAGAGTCCAAGGCCCCCCTGCCCTGGAGGTACCTCAAAGCCAGAGGCCTCTGTACCGCCCCAGCCAGTGCTGAGGGAGCGGTTCCTTGCCCAGGGTCAGGAGCACTCAGCCTCCCCTGCCCAACCCGGTCCTGGCTTCCAGGGCTCCTCTGCGCAGCCTACAGCGCACAATTCCACGTCCCAAGCAGCACCTTCTGGAAGTTACTAGAGAACCTGAACTGTTGTTCTCCAGATGCTGAAACTTCCCAGGGCACTGGGTCCCAACAGTGTGTCATAGATTGCAAAAGCACAGGAAACACAACAGTCTGAATGTACTTACAAGTGGACTGTACTCTTGAAAATAGCTAAGACGGTACATTCTGTGCTATGTATATTTTGCCACGATTTTTTAAAAAGGACATGTTTAGGGCCGAGCCCGTGGCGCACTCAGGAGAGTGCGGCGCTGGGAGTGCAGCAGCGCTCCTGCCGCGGGTTCGGATCCTATATAGGGATGACCGGTGCGCTCACAGTGCTCACTGGCTGAGCGCGGTGCGGCCGGTCTCAAAAAGGACAAAAAAAAAAAAAGGACATGTTTACTGCCCTTGAGAAATTTGCAGTAAGGATCCAAAAATTAAAAAAATAAAGTCTACTGTAACATGAGCTGTTATAGAGCCATGAGCAGCTGACACAGGGAGTTGATTCTCGTGATAATCACAGAAAGCTTCATAGCAAGGAATAAAATGGGTGCACAGGCAGACAGTGCTGCCAAAACGCAAGTTATGCATGTGAAGTCCCATGCTTGTCCCAAACAGTTGGAGCATAAAGTCCCCTGTGTAGCTGTGTGACTTCTGGCAAGTTATTTAACCCCTTTAAGCTTTACTTTTCTCATCTAAGGTGAGGATAATATTAGTACTTTCCTCGGGGTTTTGATCTAAGGATTGTATGAAATAATGCACGTGGCAGATTTATCAGAATCCCTGCCACGTCGTACATGCTCGGTAAAAGGTATTACCCATGTTGTATTATTACAAATTACCCATTTTCTTTGTGAAGAGGGAGTCACATTTCAGCCGAAAGAATAAATGTATAATACCAGGGTTCGGATCCTATATAGGGATGGCCGGTGCACTCACAGTGCTCACTGGCTGAGCATGGTGCGGCCGGTCTCAAAAAGGACAAAAAAAAAAAAAGGACATGTTTACTGCCCTTGAGAAATTTGCAGTAAGGATCCAAAAATTAAAAAAATAAAGTCTACTGTAACATGAGCTGTTATAGAGCCATGAGCAGCTGACACAGGGAGTTGATTCTCGTGATAATCACAGAAAGCTTCATAGCAAGGAATAAAATGGGTGCACAGGCAGACAGTGCTGCCAAAACGCAAGTTATGCATGTGAAGTCCCATGCTTGTCCCAAACAGTTGGAGCATAAAGTCCCCTGTGTAGCTGTGTGACTTCTGGCAAGTTATTTAACCCCTTTAAGCTTTACTTTTCTCATCTAAGGTGAGGATAATATTAGTACTTTCCTCGGGGTTTTGATCTAAGGATTGTATGAAATAATGCACGTGGCAGATTTATCAGAATCCCTGCCACGTCGTACATGCTCGGTAAAAGGTATTACCCATGTTGTATTATTACAAATTACCCATTTTCTTTGTGAAGAGGGAGTCACATTTCAGCCGAAAGAATAAATGTATAATACCATTAAACAAAACAAAACCCGGGAGGTGTTGCATTAACTGAGAGTCTATTTGGAAGGTCTCTCCCAGCTCAGAATTTTGGGTAGACAAAGTCAGCGTCTCCTGACAGCAGGATTTATGTGCCAGTGGTTTGGTTTGGTTTGTTTTCATTTTTTTTAATGTGGCAAAATACACGTCACACACAGTCTGCCGTCCAAGCACAGAGCTCAGCGGCATTCAGTCCCTTCCCGCGTCCATGCCCCTCCGGAGCTCGTCACGCTCCCAGGCCTTTCACTTGCTTCTCGTCCTCATTTTGTGCCACCCTGAGAACACGTCACATCACGCTGGTTCCTGCCGTCTTTGATCGTGTCATCATAATCACTTGTCTTAATTCTGCAAAAACCCTGTCAGAGCCACAGCCCTTACATTCTCCTGCCTTTACCCGACCCACCCACAGCACGGGGAGGTCCTGCCCCTGAAGATTGTCACCTACGCCGCCGTGTCCTTGTCCCTGGCAGCCCTGCTGGTGGCCTTCGTCCTCCTTGCCCTCATCCGGACGCTGCGTTCCAACCTGCACAGCATCCACAAGAACCTCATCGGGGCCCTCTTCTTCTCCCAGCTGATCTTCGTGGTCGGGATCAACCAGACGGAAAACCCGGTGAGGCCCCGCCGCGCGCTCTGCCCTGGCCCGCGGCTGCCATGCGCGCGCCGTCCCGTGGGCGCACGTGCTGTCCTGTGGGCACGCGCTGCCACGTGGGTCTGCTCTCTCAGGCTTTCAGCGAGGCTGGCGTGGTGGCAGATTCTTACTCACCTCTTTAAGGCATGGGGTGGGGGGCGGTCTCTGCTGGTTGAGTTTGGCGGGTGCAGCAGGGACTCCTGTGGGAGGTCCCAGGCAGGACCCTCCTTCCATTTGCGCTGAGTCTTATCCTCCTGACATGGACGCTGGTGATCTCATAAGAAATCACAGTCCTTTGTCAAATCCCAGAGTCCTGCAAGCTGTGGTTGGCTTTTTGGTGACACGTGTTATGGGCGAGCGCTGGTGGTGGCAGGGTCTCCGCCCTGTCACACTCACTCCGTTCACTGTCAGAGCCCCTGGGCTTCCCCAGGGAGGGAGAGAGAAGTCCAGAACAGGCCCAGCACTGGATGAGGGGTTTCTGGTGGATGTAGAGGGTGGAAGGTGAGAAAGGAGCTTCTGAAGGAGAGTAACTGGTGGAGAAAGAGAGGAGGAGAGAAGAAAAGCCACTTGCACTCGATCCAACTAACTGCAGGGCACGTGTGAGCTCATGGGGTGCCACGGGGCCGCCTGGGGGTTGTGGGAGCTCATGAGTATCCAGCCACCTGTGTAAAGCCAGTGAGTTTTTTCTGGACAGTGACGATCAGGCCACCTTTTCCTAGGCTCTGAAACCCCTGAGCACTTCAATTCAGGGAGAGACAGGCACAGCTTACAAATCGCCGAAGCAGGTATGAGCCACCTGGCAGCCAGCGTCCTCCTCTGTGCCCAGGAGTTGTTGCCATTCAGGAAGGTCAGCCTTTTAGGGTGAAATATGGTCTCTCAAACTGAGCCCTCCCACGTTAATGGCATAATAGCCACAGTGTCACTGTGTTGAGGTCGTGCCCAAGACTGCAGTAAGCACTTCAAGTGCACTGAAACTGACCAGGGTCATGATCACAACCGCTGCCACCTGTGCTTTGCAGAACCCTTTAAGGAACTTGTCCGTGGTGGTGTGGCAGTTGGTGGGAGGGGATCACAGCAGGCTTCCGGGCTGAGGCGCACGCAGCTCGCCCCCTCGCCTCATCAGGCAAGGCTTTTTTATTCTTAACGGGCTCTTTCTGAAGTTGTTTAGGCAGAGCTGACCCAGATTCGGTCCTCAGCTGCTGAAGAAGACATGGGCTTTGGGTGTATTTAACCCTTTACCTGCAGTAAAGGATATACATTTGAGACTCAATGGATATGCATTGGATGAGCGCCTACTGGGTGTCTGGGGCTGGAGACACTGCAGGCGATGGAGCACGGTGTACAGGTCCCCTCCGTCCTGGAGCTGGTTATTCCAAATCTGAACATCCCTGAGAGGACGTGCCCCATGCTCTGGAGGTGCACCGCAGATGGCCAGCCTAGGTGGGGAGCCTGCAGAGACTGCACTGGACAGTGACTCTTCAGCCAAGATGAACAGCTGAGGAGATATCTGCCAGGTAGCGGTTTCTGGGCAGGGAAGTGCAGAGACTGGAAAACATCCAGGGTAGCAGGGTCTGGGCAAAGAAGAGAGGTGCACCACCTGCAGCTGGGTTGGAAGCCAGCGAGGCACACCTGTCTGTGCTGGCAAGTTCAGTCCACGTACATGGGCACTGGGCTCCGACAGAGGCAAGTGAGTTCATCTTGCCTGTGAAATAAAGACAGGGATTGTCCAGTAGATACAAAGCCAACCCGTGTGACACTTATGAGAGGCACAAAGATTGAGAGTAGTGAAAAAGGACATGATAGAAAAACATCAAGCTGAATAAAGCTAGAGGATAAAGACAGGGATTGTCCAGTAGATACAAAGCCAACCCGTGTGACACTTATGAGAGGCACAGAGATTGAGAGTAGTGAAAAAGGACATGATAGAAAAACATCAAGCTGAGTAAAGCTAGAGACCTATATAATCATCAAACTAACTTGTCTTGAGGATTAACAGCGATATTTGGGATAGAGAAGGTGGCTGTAGAATGCTGAAGTGGTCCATTGAGATGGGAGATATATAAACTTTCTAAATTTGTATGAACCTGGTAAAATGAAATCAAAATATGCCTGTAGAAGACACAACTTGATTTCAAAAATTTAAAGGAAATTGGTGAGATTCACAGTGAAAAAGTTTTAATGAAAATATTCCATGTCAGAACTTGGAGGGTGTAATTAAAGCAGAACTTAGAGGTAAATTTATATCATATATGCTGATGTTCAAAAAAAGAAGAAAGGCTGAAAATCAGTGAGCTAAGCGGTGTAACTTGAGTTTTAGAAAAAGCACAGTAAACGCCAGAGAAAGTAGAAGGAAAGAGATAATGAACAGCAGAAGTCGATGAAATAGAAAATAAAGATACAAGAGGAGATTAAAAAAAAAAAGCCATAAGTTGTTTTTTGAAAGGGCAAATCTCCAGTGAGGCTGATGAAGGGGAACAAAAAGAATAAAAGCACAAATAACGAATATTGGGGATAAAAAAAAAAGGGAAGACACTTATACTGTGAACAGTTTTATGCTGGTACCTTTAAAACTTAGAGAAAGCAGATATATTAGAAAAATGCAACTCATTTGTCAAAACTGATTTAAGATATAGAAAGTCTAAATAGTCCTGTAACCGTTTAAAGAATTTACATCCATTTTGTATTTTAAAAAATCATGCCCAGGTTGGCTTTATCTTAGGAATGCAAGGTGACTTAAGATTATAAAAAATCCATAAATGTCATTCACCTCACTAATACATTTAAGGAAGAAATATGATTTTCCTCAATGTAGGAAAAGTTTTTGAATTTCACACCTATTTATAATTAGAAAGAAATGACCTAGAAGAGGGGAGCTCCTTAACCTAATAAAGGCATCTGCAGAAAACCTGCCGTTGACATAAGCAATAGTGGGAAAATACGAGCAGCATTTCCTCTAGTGCCAGGACCCCGCTCCTGCAGCCCGTCCATCCCTGTGCTGACGGCCTCGCCAGCGCAATGAGTGAGAAAATCGCATTGAAGGCGTGGAGATCGGGAGGGAAGAGGCAGAACCATCACTGATTATGAGATGATGTAGGGGTTGTGGTGGCTGTCACAGAAAAATCTAAGACTTGGGCCGGCCCGGTGGCGCACTGCTACAGTGCGCCGCTTGGGAGTGTGGCGGCGCTACCGCCGAGGGTTCGGATCCCACATATAGACCGGTTCCCGCTCACTGGCTGAGCGAGGGGTGGGCGCAGCACCGAGGGTTGCGATCCCATTTCCGGTCCTGGTCCAGTATGGGCGCGACACTGAGGGTTGCGATCCATTGCCGGTCACGAGAAAAGACAAAAAGGAAAAAAAAAAGAAAAATCTAAGACTTTACAGCCATGCTGAAAATCAGGTGGAGAGTTTGGCAAGGTAGCTGGCTATTGGAAACCTAATGTATGTGAAACTGAGTCAGGTCAAGGTGGAGCCCAAGAGGGGGCATGGGATGGGTACTATGGGAGGGAGGCATGGGCCGGTGGCTGGGGACACGTCCGCGATGCCGGGTGGAGAGGAGAGCACAGTGCCCGGGTGGGGGCTGCAGCCCTGGGCATTCCCAGCTGGTTACCAGGGATGATGTTGCTTGTTCGTACACAGGGTTTTCAAAGCAAAAGGGTCCCAGCATGCCTGGGGCTTGCTCACAGGAAGGGCCGCCTTGTGGTGGCCATGCCAGCTCTGTTCTGCGCAGATGCCATGCCTGGGCTGCACACGCTTTGTCCCCTTCCCACCTCCCGGGTGCCGGCAGGCGGGGCACGGCTCCTCACCGGCAAGGGAAGCCGGGCTTGGCGAGGTGGGAGACGGCGAGGCCGCGGTGGGAGCCCGGGTCTCTGGTGCTGCTGCTGTGCGAGCCCCGCGGGACTTGGCACTGCGTGGTCCAACTGCCCGGAGGTCAGAGCTGCGGGCCACCTGCCCCGTGCGACTGCCTTCTCGAGACCTGTGACAGGTCGCTACTTGTGTGTGCGATTTCATGTCCCGCCACTAAATAGTGACTATAAACCCCCTAGAGAGACGTGAGACCAGCTGATCACCACACGCGCAATTGTAGTGACCCCAGCAAGTTACAGGGGTGTTTGGGGTCGGTGGGCCAAACAGCGCTGCTGCCATCTGCTGTTGACACAGCTGTCATTTCTTCATTCCTCACACAAGGACGTATTGGTTTTCATTGTGTTAAATCTACCAAAGACCCAGATTCAAGAAGACCTCCCACCCCTGCCCTCACTGGCAGGTGGGGAGCTGGGCCTGGTTAGGGAAGGGCTCATTGGGGCCACCCAGTGGAAGGGGTCCAGGATCAGGGGCAGGGGACGGATCAGGGAACAGGTCATCGGGAACCTGGGGGCCACACCAGGAGCTCCATCTTCTCTTTGTAGGCAGCGTTTTAGAAAGTTAAAGCTGGCAGTGGGTGGACAGTAGGTGGGAGGGCGGGGAGGGTCAGCCAAGCAGCCGGGAGGGGGGTTCCCGGGTTTGGAAGGCAGAGGCAGGCCCAGAACCGAGTCCAGGGCAGCAGGCATGGGGAGGAGGACCAGTCGGGACCATCCAGGCACAGAGGGAACACGAAGGAGGAATCGGGGTGACCCTAAGGTCCCCAGAAGGGGGAATAAGTGGTTGAGAATGTGGCTAATTGAGATGAAAACCCAGGCGAAGTGGTAGCATGAGGTAAGGATGGACGCACCCACGAGGGGACCGAGGGAGGCGCAGAGCTGGAGCGTGGCGAGGCCTCCTCCCACGCCAGGGGAGAGGCTGAGTCGGTGGGAATGGACAGGCCTGGGACAGGACGCAGAACCAAGAGACAAGGTGGAATCATCGGGCTGCTGCTCAGGGCCACCTGCGGACTTGAGCCCTTCCTCCTTGTTTACTGCACGCAGAGGGACCCTCTGGGAGGGAGGGACCACAGGCAGACCTTGAGCAGGTTCCACGAGTGAACGTAGTGGCTTCTCAGCAGTGACACGTGGCGCCCCACTCCTGGCCATACGATAGATTCCAAGCATTTGTTAGACGCGAGTCCAAATGTCCTCGCTGCCATTAGGTGCACCCACCCCGAGGCCGGGCGCTGGGCTGGCGGGGGCCCCGCGTGGGGGCTGTAGCAGTGTCTCCGCACCCATGGCCGGGCGCACCTTCACCTGCATGCTCCGTCTTATCCGTGCACCAGGCAGGCAAAGGCTCCTGGTGGGAAGCTGCAGGATCCATTGCAGGACCTTCAAGTGTGCTTTTGAGTGGTCCGAATAGAGGGGAACGTAGGGTCGACGGAAGCCGCTGCCTGCAACTCAGCACCCCGTGTGAAGTGCCGGGGGCCCCTCGCTTCGAGCGCTGACTCACGCCTGGAGCGGAGCGGGCACAAAGAAGAGGGGAAGCCGGTGCGCAGAGGTCGGGGGCTTGGCATGGTGCCTGGTATTTATGGGCTTTTCTGTAAACTCACAATCCTGTCTCTGGGCGAGGCTTTTCGTCTCCCAGAACACTGACAGGCTGAGATGATTTATTAGGCATGAGTGTTTTGTCTTTGTTCTGTTTCTGGAAAAGGTGTGCATTGAGTGCAGAATTCTGTGCATGTGCGACCCCACTAGAGCGAAGAAGTCGTATTTCTAGCACTTTCTTTTTTCCAAAGGTGGTTTTGTGGGTTTACTTTTCACACTATTTAAGGCAACGAGCCAACCAACCGTCTCACCTTCCTTTTCCTGAGCCAACCGTGATTTCCACTCAGGAAACCGCAGTGTGTGGTGTGGGGTTCAGCCCCAGGCTCGCCCCTCCAAGCCCGTTTCCTGGTTTCCTGACCAGGTCCAATGTCTGAGGCAATAGCACGTCCCCAGTCGTGACGCAGGATGGTTTCTCCTTCAGCTTTGGTTCTTATACTGTATTTGACAAATGTTAGTGCTAAAATGGCTTCCTCCCACACCCCTGGGTTTTATTTCTGGAGAGCACGTGGCCCATCAAGGTTGACATTGTAGCAGGTAGCACCTGACACCTGTGCTCTGTTGCGCTCCCCTGGGGGTGCACTGACCTGGTGCCTGAGCAGAGTGGCGTCCTGCATGTGACGAGGTGACGGCCCTCCTTCTCCTATCCTCTGTGTCTGTCGGGGCCATCCCCTTGGGGAAGACACTGAGACCCTGGGAAGCTGATGGGACAGCTGTGGACGATTGGACAGCAAGTGGAAGGGGGCGGGGCTGCCATGGGGCTGTGTCTATAGGTGGGGCCAACTGTGGGGTGGCCGGGGTGGGGCTTACCTGTGTGGGTGTGGCCAGGGGTGGTGCCAGCCATGGGGGTGGCCGGGGTGGAGCTTACCTGTGTGGGTGTGGCCAGGGGTGGTGCCAGCCGTGGGGGTGACCAGGGTGGGGCTTACCTGTGTGGGTGTGGCCAAGGGAGGGGTCAGCTGTGGGTTTGGCCAAAGGCAGGGTTTGGCTGTGGCGGTAGCTGGGGTGGTGCCCAGCTGGGGGGCCAGCGCCTTTCTCTTTCCTCTCCACTCAGCGTTCCCATCCCCTACCGAGTGGCCCAGCTTCTTGAGACCTGCGAGGTCAGCTTGCCACCATCTCCCAGCTGGCCAGCCTTGGGGGCATTGGCTGGAACAGCCCCTCCCAGAGACTAATGTGAAACTGCTCTGGGCCACACCTTCAAGTCCTGTCCAGGAGCATGTGGGATGTGATCCCGCAGTGTCCCCAGCGCCTCCCTGCCTCCTTCCTCCCATTCTGACCCCTCCTTCTGTGTCCAGGCACACAGGGCTGGCTCACCCAACTAGCCCAGCTGCTCCAAGGCCCCGAGGGACCACCTGCTGCCCTGTAGCTGCCCCATGGACGTTGATTTTCTCTTCCCGGCACTGGGCCACTGGCCAGACACACAGCCCTGCTGGGGGCTGTGCACAGCTGGGGACAGACACGTAGAACACTCCCATCCTTGTTCTTCCTTTGGTGGAAAATGTAAGGCTCCATTAAACCAACGCAGGCACAAGGAGCTTGTTCTTATTCGGCACTGAGGTCACTGCGTGATGCTGCTCCCTCCCTCTGGCTGCACCCACTGGGTGTGAAGACCTGTGTGGGGTCAGCGGCCATGGGTGCAGGCCACTGTCACAGCCGGGGGCCCTCAGCCTGAGCAGGCCCTCCATAGCATTTTATTTTTTTTTAAGATGACCGGCAAGGGGATCTTAGCCCTTGACTTGGTGTTGTCAGCACCATGCTCTTCCAAGTGAGCCAACCGGCCATCCCTATATAGGGATCCGAACCCGTGGCCTTGGTGTTATCAGGACCACACTCTCCCAAGTGAGCCTCAGGCCAGCCCTCATAGCATTTTTAACTTTAAATTAAATGCTAACATTTAAAGATTTGGAGCCATCATAGAAATCCAGATTTCCAGCTCTCCCCAAAAAACCACATGCTCTGCCCACCCCTCGTCCCTGAGCTGTGCTCTCTCCTGGCAGTGATCCGGGCTGAGGAGGGAGGCCCCACACCCCTGTCCCCTGTTCCACACTGGGAGCCTGAGACGCTGTGATCATTGACGCTCGGCTGCTACTGGGTGAATCACATGGGAAGAACAGGCAGCTCGATTTCCTGCTGCAGACACCAGACCTTCACATTGGCGGAGTGGCCCGATTTGGTTGCTCCCCTCCCCCGTGCCCGTTTGGCCTCGGCCCCTGCAGGGCCCTCGCTGAGCCCCATCCTTTTCCACGCAGTTCCTGTGCACGGTGGTTGCCATCCTCCTGCACTACGTCTACATGAGCACCTTCGCCTGGACGCTCGTGGAGAGCCTGCACGTCTACCGCATGCTGACCGAAGTGCGCAACATCGACGCGGGGCCCGTGAGGTTCTACTACGTCGTGGGCTGGGGCATCCCGGCCATTGTCACAGGTGAGGACGTGCAGTCCTTGTCACAGGTGAGGGCCTCCTGGGTGGCCGGGAGGAAAACACAGATTTCTAACCAAGCACTGCTCCGCGGGACATCCACGTGTCCCAGGTGCAGGCGGGAGAGCTGTCTGCTTACTTTCTCATCCATGTCCTGCTCTGATGCTTGTCCAGCCCCTAGCAGAGGTGGCCCCAGCCCTGCACACTCATGTGCACAAGTGCTCAGTGCCCATCCAGGCGGCGTGTCTCCCGTTAGGTGTGAGCTCCTTGAGTGCTGGGTCCAGGTCTATTCAGGGTTCTTTCTGCAGTACCAGATAAAAGCTCCATACTGCCCACTGGGTGGATGGACGGACAGATGAGCGGGTGGATGGGTGGACGGGCGGGCAGGCAGATGGGTGGGTGGGTGGATGGATGGATCAATGGATGGGCAGGTGAATGAATGAGTGAGTGAATCAATGAACAGAACAACTTCCTCAGCATATTTCTCACTGAATGTCAGGGTCAAGTTTGCTTCCTCTTGAGAAAGATCTGCACTTCTGTTCATAAAAGGAAGATCTGAACCCCCTTCTCCTTGGTAGCCCCTGGGTGCCAGGGGTCTGGACACAAAGTGTGAGGCCAGAGGCATCCACAGCAGTCGGTGACTGGTCTCCCCCCAGCCTCCCAGCCCTCTCTGCTCCCACCTGGACAGCTTCCTGGCCCAGGCCATCTGGACTGTTCTGATGCGACTTACCTCCCTCTGCTCGGAGGGACCCTGAGGGACTATTTTCGCTTCCATCCAGAGCCACTGGGGGGCGGGGGGGCAGGGGGGCCCCCTCCCCGGCAGCCGCCGCCTCCTGGCTTGACAGAGGCGCTGTCTTTGCCCAGGTCAGGTGTCAGTGGCAGGTGGGTGTTGAGAAAGCCACATGAGAGTAGCCGTGTGGCTGCCCCATGAGGAAGCCATCCTGGTGCCTCACAGAAGACGCCTCCCCCACCACCTCTGTCACGTTACACGTGTGAAATGTCACTGCCTCTTACAGGGGCTTTGGAACTAAATCCAGATCACATTTCTAACTTCAGAAACAGGTTTTTTTTGGTTTTTGGTTTCTGTTTTTAAACACTTAAGTCTCTTGCACAAGATCTTAGGATGATTCTCAAGGAAGCTCAGGCTGAGATGAGGGCGTTGGCCGGTGGCAGCCGCCTCGTTGGTCTGTCTGGGGCAGAGCTGACAGCCCTCGTCGCAGTGTCGGCCGGGGCAGCTGTCCCA